TAACCAGAAATTCTGAGAAATTGCCATCCTGAATACATCCGGTGTTCTAATATTATGGATTGACTAAATAATGGATTGCAAGCTGGTGGTTTCTATTACAATAAAAAAATGATTTGTTTGCTACAAGGCCTTAAATGATTGTTGGAACCAGAGTATTTGGCTCTACTACTATCAAACTATGTGATTTCTGACAAGTTTCTTAACCTCTCTGCACCATAGTTTCACTCCTCACTAGAACTATGACTATAATATCTACTTTGTGAGGTGGTTTAAGAAATAAACACATACACGCATTCATACTAAATGCAAATGGAAAACTAAAAATATTCTGGCACATAGTTAATGCTGTGTAATTATTGGCTATCATTATTAGTGTTTATTACCTAATACTTAATTCTTTCTTTCATATCAAGAAATATGTAAAGGATGGTTAGATCTCTTTTAGTTGAATAGCAGTAATCACTTTTGAGGAGCAATGAAGGCTAGAAACTATAGGGAAGGCATCACTGGGCAGAAATCTAGCTCCTTTGACATCATATCATCAGTGTTTGGTTTGTTTGAGGGACTTTTAGAATCTTTGACATTTCTTTAAAAGTAAATTATATCATTGTGTGCTCAGTTTCAGTCAAGACTCCTTTAATTATTGTGAAGTGAAACCCAAGTCAAACTGGCTTCTGCCTCTTTGTGAACTTCATTCTTAATTAATCATATAGATATTCACAAGAAACACTGTCTTAGATGTGCATCCCATATCAAAGTTTCATAATTGAGGCTTATTGGTTGGTCAAGAGTCATTTCTCACCCCTGATACAATCCTCATGGCCAGGTAGACACTTTTTAGCAAGTTTGGGTTACAGGCCCACCCTGAGTCAGTAGGTATTGTCACATGCATTTTGAAAGTGGAGGATGAGTAGCTCCTGGAGGAAAGGAGAATTGAAGACTTATTAAATGGGAGTAACTTCTCAGACATCCTCACCCTCTGATCTTGTATATCATTTATATTTCACTTAGCTCTGTGATAACGTTGACTTCTACTTCATTGTGAAAATTGAAGCAACTAGAAAGAACTTCTCTAGAATCCCACAACCTCAGCTTCCCAAGCTTCTATACCCACAAATTCTGCTTGGCTGTGTTTCTATGTAATGCTGACACATTCGCTAGTGCATTAGAACATGTATCTTCTCACCTGCCGAAAGACATTATTCCAGCAATCCTTCCCCTCTAATGTCATCAGTGTCTATGATCCTTACTTAATCATCCCTAACAGAAATACAAATATGGCATTATTCACCAAATTCTCAAGTCAAATTCCCTGACTCTAATAATTCCTTGGCTTCCACTTAGTTTCTTCACTCTCTTTTTAAGCAGGTTTACTTGAAAGAGTTTATTGTACCCAATTTTCCCCCTCCTATGGTCTTTTAAAACCATTCTAATCAGGCTTCTAGCTCCCTGACTCCACCAAAACTGTTTCTGTTGAGATCCTCTGCATTGCTAAGTCTAATTGCCAATTCTCAGATCAATTTACCTGGCCTATCAGCAGCCTTTGATAGAGCACTCCCCTTCCACTAACTGAAAATTTCTTGGAAAGTATATTATTTGGTTCCCATGAAAGCCACACACTTTTGATTTTTCTCTCCCTTCTCATGCTTACTCAGTATCCTTTGTAGGTTCCTACTCTTTACCAGACTACTTAAATGCCAGAGGGCGCCAAGGCTCAATATGTGGCCATTCTCTTCTCTGTACTCTCTACTTTTTTGATTTCATATTTATCATAGCTTACTACAGTTTTCATGTGCTAATTACCAAATTTATGGTTTCTGTCCAGAGCTCTTCCTTCAACTACTTACACATACATCTAACTGTCCTTCCTTACATCTCCACTTGGAATTCAGTAGGCATTCAAATTCAATATGCACAAACCGAACTTTAAATATTCTTCGCAAAATCTAGCCCACTTGTAACCTTGCTTGTACCCTAGATTGAGCCCTATCATCTCTTCATGTTCACTGCATGTCTTAGTCTGTGTGGGCTGCCATAACAAAACACCACAAACTCCATGGCTTAAATAACATACTTCCCCCCCTCCCCTCACAGTTCTGGAGGCAAATAATCCATAGTCAAATAAACCAATCCATCAGGGTCCATTTCCTATGAGAGCTCTCTTCCTGGTTTGCAGATGCTTACCTTCTCATCATGTCCTCACATGGCCTTTCCTGGGTGTGTGTGCACCCTCGGTGGTGTGTATTATTACAAGGACACTAATCCTATTTAATCCTATTGAATCAGGGCCCCAACCTTATGACCTGGATTAACTTTAATTATTTTCTTAGGGCCCCCATCTCCAAATACAACCACACTGGGTGTTAGGCCCTCAACATGTGAATTTTGGAGGGACACAAACATTCAGTGCATAGCACTGCACTAGACTCTAAAGTGTGTCTTGCTTCCATCCTTGTGCTAGTTTGTTTGCAACATGGTAGCCATAGTGATCCTTTCAAAATGTAAGTCAGCTAATATCACAGGCACACAGGCATACTCCATACCCATTGGCTCACCAATATACCCAGAGTCAAAGCAAAGATTCTCCAGAAGCCAGTGTGTTCTATGCCATATGAACTCCCTTCCTCTCCAAGCTCAACTTCTGCCACCCTTCCTATCCCCCACCCTTCCCCTGACATCCACACTGACCTCCTCATTTCATGAACATGCGAGGCACTCACCTATCAGCTTTACCTGTTTCCTCTGCCTGGACTTCTCTTCCCCCAGAAATCTGTGTGGATCATTCCGTTACTCCCTTAGGGCTGTCTCGATTGTCATCGTTTCAAAGAGGCCTACCTGACTATCTAACTCAAAATGCAAACTGCTACCCAGTCCCACCTCTTCTGCTTCCCCTGGTCCTACTCTGTTTTATTCTTCATTGTCTATATGATCTTCTAATATTTTATAGGAAAATATACTTTTGTTTAATTTGTCTTCCTCATTAGAATTTAAATTTCAAAAAGGCAATTATATTTACCTTTCTTTTAAAATGAGGGACAATGAATCTGAAGACCAATGATCAGATCAATTTACTTGACCTAATACTGAGACAATAAGTAAGGAAAGAGAAAATGATTTTATATAGACAGATTCATACATGGATAGATAGGTAGACAGATAGATAGATTAGATAGATAAATAATAGAAAGAAATGATAAACGCATACATTTATGAGTTCAACTAGATTTAAGTTAGCGAATCTAAAACCATATAGATTAACAATGTAGGCAAGTTAATTTCCTAACTCTCTTAATTGCAGTATCAGAGTGCTATTTTCAAAAAAAAGTTTAATAGATATTAGAAAAAAAAATAAACAAAAATTATCCATTGCAATAGGTTAGCCAACTTTGAAGTTTAGAGGGGACGTCATTCAGAGGGCTGCAGGGGTATTGACAACAGCTATAAATTCAGGGGGTTCCCAGAACTATCCTCAAGGTTGATAACATGCTATAAGGACTCACAGAACACACGGAAATCTGTTACAGGCACAGTTATAGTTTATTTCAAAGAAAAGAAAGAGATTAAAATCAGCCAAGGGAAGCAGCACATAGAGTACACTCCAGGCAGAGATCCAAATGCAGAGCTTCCATTTTCTTCTCCCCATGGAGGCAGGGTCAGCATTGCTTTCCTGGCATTGCTGCATGACAGCACACACAGAATATGCCCACCAGGAAAGCTCATCTGCACCTTGCTGTCCAGAGTTTGTCTTGGGCTCTGTCGTTTTGACACTGTTATGGTCTTATAGATGACCTCAGCCCCTCAGGGGGTCAAGCTGATATGTCATGATCTAAAAACGCCACACTAAATCCAGTTGCTGCTACCTAGCTGGCCCAAAACCCCCAGGCCAACAAAATTGTAATATAATTAATGTGTTTAAAGTGATGAATTCACAGACATTGGGAAAGGATTCTCACCATAGAATTGATTAGCACACCCATCACCTCACATATTTACCTTGTTTTCTTTTTTTTTTTTCACGAAAACACTTAAGTTCTATTCTCTTAGAAAATGTCAATTACACGGTATTATCAACTATAGTCACCATGTTATATATAGATCCTCAGACATTATTCATCTTATAATTGAAAGTTTGTACCCTTTTCCCAGCCTCTCCATGTTTCTCCCATCCCCACTGTACTCTCTGTTGTTATAAGCTTGTCCATTATACCTCAACAAAGCTGAAATAATTGGGAGAGAATCAGAAAGTAACCTGGGCGCAGCTTTAGCCTGTCCCGGCTGAAGAGTTGGGCAGCCTTAGGAGGAGACACACATGGTTTTAACTGGAAAGTAGAGAGAAGGTGGCAGCGGGAGCAGGATGCCTGGGTGGTACCAGGATATGAAACCAATGAACAGAAAGCCAGTGCAGGGCAGACACAGTCTCCGCAAAACTCATCCAAATGCCTGTCTTTCCAGAGACCTGGGCTGCGGAGTGCTAACAGGCAGCACACCTGGCATCCCAGAATTGACTTTGGCACTCGGCAGCACATGCTGATTGGCAAGCTGCCAGCCCACCAGCTTGCTCCCCCCACCCCCCTCCTGCTGTCAGACTCTCATCCTAGTCATCCCCTGGCAATTAGGGCAGTGACTGAAGCAAAATATATAATAAGCCATGGCAAGGAAAATTAGTAAGGCTTGGGAGTTCTAGTCTAGAGGCAGGCTTAAAAGTTGTTTCAGGAAGATAGGTAGCCTGGTGGAGCTTGATTGATGAGAATGAATTATGAGTAAAAGTATGGCTAGAGAATTAAAAATATATGCGATGGGTCTGTCCTTGAGTTTTCTGTTTTTAGATTTTTTTCTAGGATGTGCAAATATGACTTCAATACAGTTATGACCACTCAAGTCATGGGGACAGTTTAACCAATCTCATTTCCTACACTGACATCCACATAGTCATAGTGATGAGAAAAACCTATTCAAATAGTCTTTGTTTAAGCACTTTCTATGCATCATATACTGCGTAGGCAACTCAGATTTACTCATTGTTAAATTCCAAGAAAAGAAATCTCCAGTTAGTACAGTAAGTGCCTCCCCTTTTCAGACAAGAACATGAAAACCCAGAACTGTTGAGAGGCTATTCCATTATCACAGAGCAGGTCAGTAAAAAGAAAGAACTTGACCTTACAACTCTCCAACTCTAATTGTTTCACTTTTTATACTGCACCATTTTTCTATCAAATGACTGTTTCTTTTTTTTTTTTTTTCTTTTGAGACTGAAATCAGAAATACTCTGGGTAATTTCTGTTTGAGAGTCAGGCTGACCAAACATAGACCAGTACCAGAACTTGAGGTAAACATTCAGATTTGAATTGTAGTTAACTATTCATTTCAGCAAGTATTGATTAAAGTATTTCAGATTCCTTGCTCAATTCCTTGTCCAAAAGTTGGTACTATCAGATTATGGTAGAGCAACTAATCCATTAACTGGCTTTTCAAAGTTCTGTCCTGCTGGGGTGTCATATGTCACATTTTTAAGTGGAATTAACCTAGTTAAACTAGGTCATTAAAAAGGCATAACTACTTATACTAGGATGACCTTAGTCATTAAAAACTTCAGTTTAATCTGAGATGAAGAACTTGATTACTAGCATTGTTGTATAAGATACTTGGTCCTGATACTCATCTGTGAAATCTTGATAACCTTATAGAATATATGAGGGAGATTTCATGTTTTAACAGGAAGGGTTTTTATTTTAAATATATTTTTTTGATTTATTAACCTTTGTATATAGTGAAAATAATGACTCTTCAACTATAATTACATTACTATTTACACCAGTCTGAGCCATTAAATATTTAGTTTCACTATAACTAAATTTTTAGTGCATACATATTCTTAGTTTCTAACTTTTAAAAAGAGAAGAAAAGCTATTATTTATTTTCAAATATGTACTAGTCTTTCAAGAAAATTTTCTCTATTTGGGTGACTTTTTGTGAATAAAAATTTTTAATAATGCATTATTCATCATAAATAACATAATATCTCCCCACTTAAATAACACAGGGAGCTATAAGAAATCACCAAGACTATTAGCGTTTGAAGAGTCACCCTGAAATTTATGGCAATGCAGTTATAAGACTGAAATATAAAAGGGTTTGGAAACAACGAGTTTACACAGCGCATGTTGTCTATGGTCTCCTGTTCATTTATTGTCTTATTGTCATCAGACTGAATATATTATTTTCCTTTAAACTCGTGAAATCAGAATATTACTGTTTTAACAGAGTGTCATAGACTGGTCTGTTACAGACAACAGTGTTTATTTCTCACAGTTGTGGAGGCTGGAAGTCCGAGATCAGGCTGCCAGCCTGCGGAGGTCGGTGGGGTTCTGGTGAGAGCCCTCTTTCAGATTGTAGCCTGCCGACTTCCCATCATTTCATCACACGGAAGAAAAACAGTGAACTCGCTCTCTGGCTTCTTATTATAAGGGCACTAATTCCATCCATGAGGGCTTCACCCTCATGACCAAATTGCCTCTCCAATGCCCCACTCCCAAATACCATCACATCAGGAATGAGATTTCAACAGATGAATTTTTGGGAAAGGCAGATATGCAATCCATAACAACTACTGTAACGTTTAGCAGTTACATCAGGTTGTACGTTTTTGGGTAATGGAGCATTGGTGCAGGGGTCCCCTAGTGATGGCCCTGGCAAACCGTATTTAACCATGTTTAGATCCATCCTTACCTTAATGGAGAACTTCCACTCACTTCTGATTTCACTTAGGATTAGATGTGAATCAGACATGATTTATTGGAAGTCACTTCTCAGATGTAATAAATGATGACGTGGGTATTGCTTAACAGCAGATTGGTCTTAAGAAATAATGACACAGATGAGTCCATTTTATAGCACCAGGCTCTCAAATTATGCCTACTTTATAGAATTGAATTGTATCCTTTTAAAATTCCAGGAACAGAGTAGTTCAGACTGGGTGAAATGAAATGAAAATGATGGGTTTAATAAGACCAGAAAAGCAAGTGCCCACTCTGAAAAGATGTCAGGCTTTCTTGGAACAATGGAAGAATACAGGGAATCTGGCTGAAAGCTTTCTCTTTCCTTGTGAGGCAAGTCAATTATTTCTGAAGGGGGAAATGAATAACTAAAGTAAAATAGCCCAAGTCTTTCTAGGTAGCCATTTAAGCAGTACAATCCCTGTGTCCTTTGATTTTTCTTAAACCACCACTAGATGGGACACTTGCATCCTTGGTTTGTATTCTTAGCTTTTTTATCCTCACGTTGGGGACCTAATGTACTTAGAAATAACAGGGGAGCCAGTGATCTTTATTCGACAGGTTCCAAATAAGTCATTTGCAGATTTTATTTAGTGTTCCCATTTTAGAGATGAAGTCGCCGAGGCTCAGAGAGAGAGAGAGTGGGAGAGAAGGAAAAATTTAACATTTGTTGGGCAGTGCTGTATATGCAGCGTATATGTTCATACTTTATCCTCCCAACAGCCTGAAGAAATGTTATTTCCATTTCGTAGATGAGGAGCTCAGCAAGGTCAGGAAGCTGCTGTGTCAGAAGCAGAATCCAAATCCTTGCCTGACTTCAGTGCACATTCGTCACTATGCACAGCCACTTCACAAGCAGTTTAAACACTTTAATGCATGATATAAACCCGAAATTACAAAGATAGTAGGGGCCCCAGCAGGAAAATGCAAAGGTTAGATTCAGGGCCCTGAAAAATGCATGATGTGGACATACAATTGGCATTGAAAGGGAATCCGTTTGTAGATTAGGCAGTATATTAGTAATTTGGAGAATATGAGGACTTTTGAGGCAGACTGAGTGGGTGTCTGTCCCACCTCTGTTGTTTGAGAACAGTGTGATCTTTAGTGGGTACTCAAAATCACTTAGCCTCAGCTTCCTTGTTGTAAAGGAGGATGATAACAGTACCTAACTCACAGGGTTGTTATGTGGGAAAAGCACTTTAATATGTAAAAAGTTCTTATAATAGATGCACGAAATTCTTGCAAGAGTAGGCCCTACTTCCCCCGGCTGGCTGCCAACACCGGCTTCCCTCTGGCAGCCGGGACCTGGGCTTCCCTCCCAGCCCCTGCTGTATCCAGAGGTCGTCCAGAAGGACATCTGGAAGGATGTCAGGTCTAATTAGCATATTACGCTTTTATTATCATAGATATGGCATATAGTAGATGGTCCTTAGTGGTACTTTCTATTATTACATCTGGAGTAATGTAAGAATATGAGATTAATGTATAGTAGGCATCAATTTATACTCTTTTTACATCACATTTACATTGTGATGTGATTAAACCTCTGTTTCATTTTAAAGCCCACTAGATTCTTAACTTGTACATTCCTTTTTATAGAATCTGTAAATATGATCCATCCGTGTTCCTTTTCAGTTTTTTTAAATTAATCCCTTCACTTGGTGAACCAACAGGTAGTGAGTGTTTGCTGTTGCCAGAATATGAGTTAGGTGGCAGCATTTTAAAAAGGTCTGATGAGCCATGTGCCCACCAGCTGCTCAGTGTGGAGAAGTGAGACAGACACGTAAATAAATAAACGAAGTGAAGGATCATAGGTTCCCTGGAGAGAAATATTCCAAAATAAGCTAAGGGCAACAGAAGGAAGCAGTTCTATCTGAGGAAGTCAGAGAAACCCAAAGGTAAGAAGCATCAAGTCAAGCCTAGCAAATTAGCATAATGTTCTAAGCAGAAGACTTACAAAATGATCAAAAGCAACGTGGAGCATATGGAGAACAGCAAATCACTGCCTGGTGCATCTCAGGCAAGGGGATCATTTGTGTGTAAGGGTGGCCGGACAGACAGGGGCCAGGCCATGCACAGGCTCACATCCTATGCCAAAACCATGGAAACTGCTTGCAAGGTGTTTTAGTAAGAGGGTAAATGGATGCATGGAGTTTAGGGAAAACTATTATGGAAAATGTTGTGAAAATAAATTGAAATGGTCTGAGTGATGCAGATTAACTAGTTAAGAGGTAATTGGTATCATCCAGGTAAGAAATTATGAAGGCTTCAAATAAGTCAATGAATATGATATTCAAAATGCAGTAACGCAAAAGCAAAAAGACAATGTTAGAAAAACAAGAGAAGAAAAACAACAAATCACCTTCACAACAGAGGAACAACAGCCAAAGTACTCTTTTAAGCAAGAAACTCTGATTATGTCACTACCCTGTTTGAAATGAACTCTGTATGTAATGGTTTCCCACTGCTCTTGAAAACAAATTATCTCACCTCCACGCAGGGTAACGGGCTCTGAGAGTCTGGTTCTTGCCTCCCCTTCGGCCTCATCTTCCATGAAACCCTTATCTACCTTCCTACCTTGCAAGCCTCTTTCTACGCCTCTGAAATGCCACATTCCCCGTGTCCTGGGCTTCCATGCATGTTCTTTTCTAAGTCTAGTGATTTCCTCTTGTCAGGTGACCCCTCGAACAAAATTTCCCCCGATTTCCTGAGGGAAGCCTAACCCAACATCAAAGGCTAGGTAGATCACCTGCTTGCAGTCCATCATCAACACTACCCAGTTGTGATGTTAGTGTCCATTGTGCTTTTTTTGTTTTGTTTTTTGAGCATATGTGTTAGCTTATTTGGTTTTGCTCACATTTCCAAACATAGTTCTGCAGAGTCCAGCACAGAATGGGGACAGAATAATGTATGCCCGCTTTATAAATGAAGGAGGATTCTTGCAATTATCCAACTAGGACAGTGGTTATCAATTACAGATCATGGGGGGAGTAATTTCAATACATATTTCATAATTGATTTAAAACCTCTTCAGTGACCTTTAACCTGCTACTATGGTTCTTTTGTAATTTGGGGAGAAGGCACTGAGGCTATAAACCATATAGCTGATGGGCGTATAGTCATGCAAACCAACAGAAAATTCAAAATGGACATGATTTCCCCTGGCCGGTATAGTTCAGTGGTTAGAATGTTAGCCCCACACACCAAAGGGTCGTGGGTTCGATTCCTTGTCAAGGACACATGCTGGAATGCAGGTCCATTCCTGGCCCCAGCCAGGGCACGT